TCAGGAATCATAGCAGCAGGACTGGAATTTCTAGGTCATTGCTAGAGTTTATGTAGCTATTTCAGTCAACTTTATTTCCAGTTGCACAATAGATGAGCAAGAAATAGAATTCCTAGTTGTATTCTGTTCTTCTGAAATTCATTAACAATTAAGGCAATTCTTGAATTATGATTGAATTCACAGAGTATCACATTATATATATATATATATATTTATATTTATATTTATATGTATGTATGCACACATACATACATATCATAATCTTATTCTATGAATCATGCCAAAAGATGTTCTGGTCAGTACATTCAGTGGTCGGCACCTTTTAGTTTTCCTTAATTGGCTGATTAATCAAAAATCAAAAAAATATTTATTCATTTTTTTCCCCTACAAATTACAAATGAAAAGAAGGAAACAAACTGGTGAATATCTGGAATGTGATGGTTTACTAGGCTCAGCTACTGGGCTCATTTCGTGCACCAACAACTGAACATTTCAGACAGGAGATACATGCTATGAGGTTTTTATGTAATTATGATTTTGGGTACTTGGTCTGTGAATATATCAGTATTCATATGTGCTGAGCTGATGAAAAATTAAAAATGGACAGTGTAAATATTCATTAGCTATGATGAAATTAAAACTCAGTTTCAAAAACACTGTTTATTTTTTCCTGAATAAACCAATAGACTGGAGTGCTGCTGCTGGCAGCTCTTGATGTCATTTATGTTACATCCCCTAAATCTGACAGAGGGATAAGATGATGTGTTTCAGCCTTCATTTCAGATGACAGTCTAAATACCCTTTGGGTAAATCACCTTATCAATTTATTAATTTCAGTTCATAATCATGTAACCAGTGAACACTTTTTGCAGATAAGATGGAAGTGTTTTTGTTGAACTGTGCACAGCAAGCACTGTGGTTAACAATTGTGCTTTTTTTCGCCCAATGCCACACCAAGTCTAGTGGGAAAATCATGAGTTTTAGAGAGGTACTTGCAAGCTAAGGCCTTCATTTCATAGGGAATCCTCTGCACTGCTTGGTGAATAATTCCAATTGTTAATTTCTTTACCACATTTTTTGTGGTTAACTATTTTCCAGCCATTGGATCTGGTTACTCTGCCTGCCAGTCCTAAGAGCCGAAGACCTTTCCCATGTGATAGTAACTAGCAAATAGTCAGCATCCTATAACTTTTATTAAAACTTTTGACAGCAACAAAGTTATTTGTAAGGTGGCTTTATAAGCACTGCTCGGTTTTTCAGCTACTTAATAGAGATGTAATGCAGAAAGCTGGACACAGTCATTCACTACTGATAATATATACTTTTTACCTGTATTACAAATTTCTGTGTTCTTGGAAATACTGCTGGTTAAATTCAGGAAGGACTTAGTAGGTTTTGCTGCAATCATGGCAATTGAGTGAATCCTCTGCACTGAAAGCTGCTGTCTACAAAGCAGGATGTAGAGGGCAAAAGGGGTTGTCTTTGAACCTCTGAATCTCATCTGTCTCAGCTGGTAGATCTCTGCTTTCTCTACTTAGCATTTATTTTCTTCTCATCAAATCTCTGTGTTCAAGTACGAGAGTTTTGTGTCATGAGGTTGTTGCTGCCTGTTTGATGTTCTGGACAGAGGCCCTTTCATGTTTAGGACTATCTCTAGGTTGTTAAATTGACTAAGGATTTCGTAGTGGCCATGAAGGAAAATATATTTCACTTACAGAATTATACAAAAACTAGTACATGTAATTCATATTAAGAAGCTCTGAATAATTGCATGTGGCACTGTACGGTAGCCGATGTACCATTGTCTATTGGCAATAAAAGCACAGCCAGGAAGAGGTATGCCAGATGTCCCCATTCAAAAGCCTGCTAATTGTAGGACTGTGATACTCCTTGCAAAAGCATGAGGCCTTCTGGAACTGGGGAGGTGGGCTCAGTTCTCTCTCTTTGGTCATTGATTTTTCTCTGCCGTGGTGGGCAAGTCACTCTAGGTGTCTGTACCTGACTTTGTACATATTGTAAGCTGATGGCAATAGCAACTTTGTTTCCTATTCATAACTTTTTCATGTTTGTTTTACTGTTTTGCACATTTATTTTGAAGTTTAATAATACAACGAGGAAAAAAAGACAATCAGGAATCTGCAGACTTAGTAGATATTGCCCAAAAAGTGTAGGTAAAGAAAAATTCTGCCTTGTAAGATCACAATTGTTGGACAGAAGACAATTCCCAATTGTTCTTTTGTTTTCACTTTTTTCCATCTCAGTGACTGGTGTTTGAAGGTCTTCTTTTCTTTTAATCCCTACCCCTTCTGGTCAATCTTCTAGTATAAGTTTTAAATACATGGTAGACCTACTTTTCCATGAAAAATAGACTTCCAGCCTCTCATAATGCCTTGTACACATGGCTATATCTCTCTTTCAAGAACAGAACAAAACATAGCTGTGTATCCCTGAGAAACGAAGTTTTAGATGTCGCTCTTTAAAGAGTATATGTACAAAGTCCTATGTTTCATGAGGCTCAAATCACAAAAGAAGTGACTGTCAGGTGAATCCTTGAAATCATAGCAGATGGCTGTATCTAGCTTGATATAATTTCATCTTATCAGTGATTTTTGAATTATCTCAAATGCCATCATCTATGGTAAATTATATATTGCATCTGTTCTGCAGCAACAAGCGAGATCAGGAATGAAATGATATTAAGCACTCTCCCATCTGCCATAACCAAGGGGTGCATTTAATGAGATCTCTTTTCTTCTGTGCTTCCATTGCACCAAATGGAATTGAGAATGGCACTGAGTATTTAGATTTTTTTTCGGGAGATGATGCAAATTTTGAACAGTTGGGCAATAACTGCAATTTTTTTCAGTCTCTCTCCAAAAAATCCGAAAAGGATGGATTTTCTTTTCATGAAAGTTTTTGGAGTTTTTTGTTTCTTTCTGTTTTATGTTAATTTAAAACACAGTTTATCGAGTGGGATTTCTGTTATGTCAAAAGATATACTTCAATTTTAAATTCTTTAGTGAATCTCCAAGCAGACCTGTTCAAAGCAGAAAGCTGAAAACATGTAATGATTTTTTTATGACATCATAATATTCAATAGGATATTGAATATGGATTCATGAAATAATGCTATACAGATCCCCACAGAATGTTATGTTCCATGAACCTAAATAGTATTAATGGAATGCTGTGAAAGCTAACCTGAATATGAAATTGTGTTCGTTTGGAAGTTATTTTTTATTTAATCAGTGCAAATAGAAGGTAGCCTAAATTAGGAACATCATTATCAACTGAAACATCTTAATCTCAAAAGCTATTCTAAAAATCATTGATAATTCAAGCTTGCCTTTATACTTTTTACTGCCATGGATGTAACGCATGCAGGATCTAAGAAATAAGAGAGATTTCACGTTTCCTCAAGTTCTTCAGGTACGTTTTTTTTCCTTTCCCCAGTGAGCTCAAATACTGTCAGTGTATTTCCCTACCTAATTAAGTGGTCATTTCATCAATCCTCAGGCAGTAGTTTTTGTTATTTTGGAGGACCTTGTCAGGAAAAGGCTAAGTGTTCCTTTAAGGCTGAGATAGATTTCCTTGCCACTGTTCAGAGTTTTGCTATGGCAAAATGTGTTGCAGCCAAGTTATTAAACCTACTGATAAAAAACAAAGCTGCATTATATGTTCTCCTACAGGAAGAATTTTGTTCTGGAAAAGGAGGAGTTGTTCTAAACCTTTACCTTTGCATGGTTTTGAACCAAGATTTTAAGAAGATTACAATAGTTTAGTGGAAAGTGGCCAGCAAAGATCAGCAAGTGCAACTGTCTGACCACTGCAGGGTTAACCAAAAGCTAATGCACGTTAATTGTGTCCTGAGCCCCTACCTTAGGATGTGCCTTCCAGCCCTGTCACCTCCTCTGGACACTTTCAAAGATCCTAACGTCCTTTCTGTATTGTGCTGCCCAGAACTGCATGCAGTATTTGAGGTAATATCTGACGCTTTCTGTTCTGAACAGCATTATCTGAGATTTTGCCTTGAAATAGAGCTTGGGGATTTTTTAAGTGAGTTTTTTAATTTTTTAAGACCTCATATAGCTTATTGCTCTGGTGACAAAGAGAAGCTTTTCAATTTTTCCACTGAATACCAAAAATCAGTTGCTGATGTGGTGTTCCACTTAGCTCTGTAAGGTCTGTATTAGGAGGTTGGCTCCTTGATGGGTAGCAGCCTGCAGTTCCTGGCCTGTTCTCCAGAAATATCCCACCTCTTCATACTGTATTCCTTTTTAGCAAGCAACTACCTAGAAGTAGCAAGGCAGGCTCCTAAATGATTGTTATCTCATGAATGTTGTGTTCTATTTATAAAAATGATCACTATTTTCAGTTAATTCTTTTTTCTTTTTGTCTGAATCTCTCCTTTTTTTTCTGTTAGGTCTTCCTGGCTGGCACTAGTGGCAGTATTTCAGACTCCAACAATTACCGCTGTCTAATTTGGTTTTGCATTTTCTGTCCCGCGTCATATGCCTTCACTTCTGCTTGGCTCTTTCTCTTTGTTCTTAGACTGCTAAACTGTGCAGTTTGTCTCACATCTGCCTGCCTTCTCTCACCTGTTTGCTGTTGTAATCTCCTCTTGCCCTGCTCATCCAGTGCAGTATTTTCTTCTTTCTGTATGTATTTTCTTCTGCTTTTTCTATTTTCCTGTGGTTCTTTTTTTTTCTGTGAGCTGGCATTTACATATCTGGTTTGACTGTTTCCTGTTTTAATTTCTTGTATTCACAGAATCACAGAATGACCTGGGTTGAAAAGGATCACAGTGATCATCTAGTTCCAACCCCCTGCTGTGTGCAGGGTCACCAACCAGCAGACCAGGCTGCCCAGAGCCACATCCAGCCTGGCCTTGAATGCCTCCAGGGATGGGGCATCCACAGCCTCCTTGGGCAACCTATTCCAGTGCCTCACCACCCTCTGGGTGAAAAACTTCCTTCTAATAGAATTCATTACTATTTCAGGGGATGACTGACTGTGAGTACAGCAATAAACAGGGGAGTGAATACGAACTTGGATCAAGCACGTGGGATTTTCTGGGGCAGAGGAGTACAGCTGATGAAGGTGCCAAGAAGGAAAAATCAGAAAGTTGCCCCTTGGATCAGGAATCATTTGTAAGTGCTTCAGACCAACTCTTGAGTGTAGGATTAGCAGCTCCTGTTACAAGAAGTAGGATTTGCGGAAAGGATTTAGGAGGATTGGAGAAACACCTCCAAATTAACATATCAGATGGAAACTAAGTGAAAATGGAGCAGTTTTGTTGGTGTACTCTAACAAATAACAAAGCAAGAGTTTTTAACGAAATCTTAAGTGGAGCGGCACTAAAAGGGTGGATGTTTCTGTCGCTTCACGAAGTAGCTATGGTACATCTTGGCTTACATTGCAGATGTGGTGTTTCTATGCATGAAGAAGCAGAAAAAGAGGTGACTGGAAATGCTCTGAGATGATGGGACACCAGGCACCAAGTGACAGTCATCATTCTGCATATTGAAAAATGCTGGGATGACAGTGCAGTCCCATTGCTTTTCTGGCACAAGTAACAAGTAGGTCATCTGCAAATGTGTCGCTTGGGTCTAACACTGACAATTGACAGATGTATTTGGTTTGCACACAAATCTCTAGGCCCCCAGAATAAACCAGGGTTTTTTAAGTGGTGGTCCCATTATGATACAGCTCTTATAAAGGCAATAATATGTTTCTGGAATATGAAGTGCTGTTGGGATTTAGTGATGTTTTCCCAGCTTAATATAACTTGGGCTGTTTCCAAGCTCCAGTGGATCACAGCAAAAATGTGCAATGGCTGCTAGAACAGGCCTGCTCGGAATGGATCCATCTCAAAATTGGATGCTGGTACTGGCAGTATATATATTAAAGTGTGTGTGTGTATATGTACTTTTTGGTTTGTTATCAGTTATATATGTATATATAATATATATTTGTCAGGAGTGATACCCATGCAGTTAGCTGATATTTCTAGGGGTTTGGCTTAGCTTTAGCGTTGTGCTGGACTCATGATCTGAGAGTCAGGCTTAATGCTCTGGGAGTCCATTTCCAGAACTTTCCAATAAAATAGGAACAGCATATATGAAGCAATTACCTTTCAGGAAGCAGTATCCTATCTCTTCACACAGGAAAAAAAAAAAAAAAAAAAAAAAAAAAAAGCAGAGGCAGAATCTGTTATGTAGCATTAACCTTGAACCTCATGCAAACAATGCAGTGTTCTTCTTAATGCTATCAGAAAATGAATGATAGCAGTGGCGTTTATCATAGCTTTCCATATGAATCATAAATGCTCCCATTTGTCAGTAATAAAGGATTTAAGAAGTGTCAAATCTCAAGGAAGGATATTAATCCCCATTTTGTTTGATGAGTCTCTGCTCTAATAGTCTAACACTCTTACATGTACCTGTAGACTGAGAGTGGTTCAGTTAAGCCGTGAATATTGAATTGACATATATACATAATACACACAAAGCAGGATTACTGTAGGGAGAAAGGAGGGTTTTGTCCTCAATTGCCTAGAAAATCTGAAGAATTTTAAGACCTAACTTTCCTTACTGCTTTTTTTATTTTCTATGTTTTCCTCTTGAAAAGATTGGTGTGGTTTGTTCTCCATCTTCATCTCCTCAAAATATCTGCTCTTGGTGATAGAATAATTTGATTCTGCAACTTCTTTGTCATTCAGCTTTTCTATAGCCTTTCTATTTTCATACATATTCTAGTTAATTTTGTTGGCAAGTTAGCCTCTAATATCTGTCAGTAAGAAAAAATGTCAGATGGTTTTGGTTAGTGGTCAGGGAGCATCTTCCAAGTGATGCTGAGGGAAGGATCCAGCACTGAAAATCCTATGTTTTTATGTATGAAAGGCTCCTTTGTGTGTAGCAAATAGTAATGAAGAGGTTGAATTGTGTGCCTTATAATTTAGGCAAGATTTATAATCATTTAAAGCAGCAGTATTGTATCTGGAAGACTGACTCATTTGTGTTTTGCAAATGCTGTTGCAGCTTTTTGCTTTTAAAAAGATGAAATTAGCTTCACATTATTGTGTTTCTGTTATCTTCTAACTCTGTGACAGATGCTAGCTTATAGCATCAGCGTATACAGGTAGGAGAGCAACCGTTTTTTTATTGCTTTTTTGCATCCCAAGTCTAGTACTACTTTGTGTTTCCATTAGTAACTTGGATAATGAAATAAAGAGTGCACTTAATAAATTTGGAAATAGTAATAAGCTCTAGGGAAAGGCCTTGAGTGTTCTGAAAGAGTGTATGGTAATTTTGAGCAACTGGTGGAATCACCTGAATGAAGCAGAATTGCAGAAAACTGAATGCAAACCATGGTGCTTCACTAGGAGGAATCATCTGCAGGGGCACAAAAAGGGATGGACCAGGCAGGAACTCTGCAGACAGGATTTGAACATAAATCAGTGGTTTCCTACTGTTATTAAAACTCACTGATCCGAAATATTGTAGGATATAAAATGTTGTTCCCTATTGCAAACAGGTGGAGATATTTAAAAAAAAAAAAAAAAAAAAAAAAAAACCCAAATCCTTGGTATGTAAGAGTATCTAGACTCAAGTGCTATGCTGGGTTCTGAGCATCACACCTTTTGGTTTGTTATCAGTTTATTTATAAGCCCGTTCAAATGTCACCTCTTCCCTGTGCAGTGCAAAAGCTACCAAGGTTCCTTTTGTGTGGGGAATTTGTAATGTTTTTGTTCAAATAATGCTCTAAGGAGGCCTCATTGTGGCCTTCCAATATTTGGAAGGAGCAAATAAAGAGGAGGAAGAATGACTGTTTATGAGGGTGGATAGCGATAGGAAGGTGGAATGGTTTTAAACTGAGATGGGAGGTTTAGGTTAGGTATTAGGAGGAAGTTTTCCACCCAGAGAGTGGTGAGGCACTGGAACGGGTTGCCCAAGGAGGTTGTGGATGCCCCATCCCTGGAGGCATTCAAGGCCAGGCTGGATGTGGCTCTGGGCAGCCTGGTCTGCTGGTTGGTGACCCTGCACATAGCAGGGGGTTGGAACTAGATGATCACTGTGGTCCTTTTCAACCCAGGCCATTCTAGGATTCTAAGAAATAACCAGCATGCAAGGAGGGGATATATATGCACATATATTATTTAAAAGAACGAGAGATATCTTCAGATAAATGTTAATTACATTATTGTTTAGCCACTTTGCATAGTAAAACTTCATTATGAAGTGAATTCCTGTTCAGCATAAGAGAAGCAGCCAGTCACTGATTTGCAAAACTATCAGGACACTGGAAATGCTCACTTGAATCAGGACTGTAATTATAAGGGAATTTGCTGCAGGAAAATTTACTCACAGCACAAAGATTGAAAAGATCTGGGTGTCATCTATCAAAGTGCAACAATTAATTTTTTTTTTCCAAGCCAGAGATTGTTGTGGAAGGAAAAGAACTTGTTTTTTTAAGATGTCTTTCACTTACAGTGGAGAAAATAAACTGCAAATGTTACAGTAATTTTCTCAGATAACAGTCAGTAAGTCTATGAATGTACATACACACATGCAGTGAGTGGATTTATTCTGCTCTCTGAGGTTGGAGTCACCTATCGATACTGCTACCTGTAATTAACTCTCTGGTGTTAAATAATTCTCTTGGCTCGAAAAAAACAAAATAGCTAATCTGAAGAGGTGCTTTTCTCATTCCCAGTGTTCCTGTATCCCCCATAGCTGCTATGTGAATGCTTGTAATATTTCATGTACTCATCTATCTGACAATTGCTATGCAGCCTTCTCCTCCTCTCCTCTCAGGAGATAAAGCTGAGATGCTGTCATCCCATTGTGAGCAACCTGCCAGAGCAGGCTGTTCAGTGAAAAACACAGCATGTGTAAAGTGAACTGTGGGACCTGAAATCCACTGAGGAAAAAATGATTTAAAAAGACAAAAAGTCTTAAATTAAGAGACTTCTCAAACATTTCCCTGCTAAAATCTTCCTTATTGCTTTAAATGGGACTAAACATGCATATCAAAGTCCAAGAGGAACAATAGCAACAAGAAAGTCCATGTATAAGCCTGTCACTATAATGTAGTTAATTGTTCCTTGACAACTTAACCCTCCAGTAATAAAACAATTGACCAAGTTTATAAGGGGATTTTACTAAACCAGGAATTGAATGTTGTTCTTCAATTTGGAACAGAATAATAAGACAGATTTTGGGGGAAAGAAGCAATTATTGGAAATTGTTGTGGTTTTTACCAACTCAGACAAGTTAGTGCTGAGCTGGAGGCTGTCCCTCTGGCCTGACTCAGTCAGCACAATGGAGATGTGCAGGTACATACGTATGTTGGAGTGATATTTTCTACTTTATCTACAGAGAGAATGGGGAAGAAGGAATCTAATTCAAGCAAGGCTGAAGTCAGGCACAGGATCAGAAGACTAGACCCAGAAATGCTGTCTAGTTATCCTGTCAGTAGGAAGAAAGAATGATCCTATGAGGCAAAATTAATCACTTTTGGAACATTATGAAATTGCATCCCCATGCTTGCTGATGCAGCCGAAGCACAAGGGCACGTGTGAGCGGCACAATGCAGAATAGTCACTGTGTTAGCTAGAGGCTTAGTCTGATCTAATTAACCCTGCTCAGAGGCAAGGTTAATGAGCCTGGGTACGGTCCAACACATGAGCTTGGTGGGTTTTTTCAGCTTGCTTGGAGCTACCCTAAGGCTCTACCGTAGGAGTGCAGTATAGGCATGCAAGTCATTAAAATACAAATGAGTAATGTGACTTTGGGATTCTTGTGTGGTTTAATGCAGTGCTATCTCTTAATGAAATGGCACTTATGCTTCTAGGCAGAGTGACAGTCTTAGAACTACGCTGTGAGGAACTAGAAGATGGGAGCAAGGAGTGTCCAAAGGGCAAGTGACCTATGGAGACCAAATTAAAGGCAGAGGAGTGAAATGGTCTGTGGAAGTTGGAGTGAGATGGTTTTGCGTGCTGTTCTATTGTAGGTTATACTGGATGCTGTTTTTGCCACAGATTTTCTCTACGTGTTGCTGTTGTTAATTGATGTCTCCTTTCATATCCTGATCCCAGCCTCTGATAGAAACCAAGACTAGTCACGACACACTTTTACACCATGAGTTAAGAGCATGAGCTCCATCAATACAGGGGTTCCTTTTAGTATTTTCTGTGCAATCTCAGACACCTCTATACTACCTGCATTCCAGGAATGTCTGCATATCACACATTTCTGGTCATAATCCACAAATTATTTTTCAATAACCAAGCAACGCAGAGAGACTCAAAGTGTAGATGGTTTTATTTACACGGTGTAACAATATTTTCTCCTCCCAAAAACAGTTTCTTCCTTCCCACTATCCCCACTGCCCCATGTTTCAGCAATTAATGAGCTATCTCATTGCTTTTATGTCCAATCCAAACTAGTTAAAGGACAAGAAAGCATTATATAATTTCCTTATTTTTCCCTCATAGGTGGGACATAATTGCAGGTATTCAAATGAAGTAATAATAGTGTTAAGGCAAGTAGAATAAACGAGATAGATTTCCTTCTCAAGTGACTGGGACTGTTTTCTTGAGGATGGTTTATTCAAAATAATATAATCTAATTCACATCAATTAAGATGTATGAGTAATTAGCACCAGTCTAGTAAATCAACTGATTTTTCATAGAATAT